GTCCGACGTCATCCTGCCCTCCCAGAAGCGCGGCCTGCCCAGCTACCTCTCCTCCTCGTCCCGCTCGCGCTGCGCGGGCTCTGAGGGCGCGAGGAACGAGGGCGAGGGCCCGAGTCAGCCGGGCCTGGACATCACCCAGCCGTGCAGCAAAGCCCGAGCAGAGAAGCTGAGCGCGACGAGCCCGCCCAACAGAAGCCCCATCATCGCGTCCGGGGGTCGCAAGCGGCGCGAAGGGAGCGGCGGCAGCGGAGGGAGCAGGCCGAGCCAGTCCAAGAAGTCCACCCCTTCCAGTGGCGAGCGCGAGCGCCTCGCGCGGAAGCTGTTCGAGTCCGCGGGCGAGGGGGGCGCCGCTCCCGACGCTCCCAGCGAGGACCATGATCGCTCCGTATCCTCTAGGATGTCCGTCGGCGAGCCCATCAGGCTGTCAGAGGACGACGAGGACGACGAGGTCTCCAGAATGTCAGAGGACAGCGAGGACGACCAGCGTACCATATCCGCCCATCAGTTGTCCGGCGGCGAGCGCTCCCGGCTGACAGAGGACAGCGAGGACGACGAGCGCATCATATCCACCAAAGCGTCCGCCGGCGAGCTCTCCGGGTTGTCGGAGGACGACAGCGTCTGCGAGCGACCTGAGCAACACGTGTCTCTGCGCGAGGCGGCCGCGTTGGCCCTGCTCGCCAGACGGGCGGGCGGCGCTGCGATCAAGGCACCGTCCGCTTCCAAGACGCCCTCAAGCCGGGGGGGCTCCACGCCCCGACTGCGGGCCGCGGCCGCCGCGGCCTCGGACAGCGACAGCGACGAGACCTTGCGGCAGAGGGAGGAGGCGCGGTGCCGTCGCCGGGAGCGAGAGCTCAGCCGACAGAGCTCCAAGAGAAGTCTCGTTGCTACTCCTCCAGCTAAGCGCAAAGGAGCTCGAGCGAGCACCCACGAGACTGCGGCCATGAATCGGACCATCTCGAGCCCCCGACACGTCATGGACGTCCCCCCGGCCCCTGTCGCCGCCTCCACCTCGGACTCGGGGGTGGAGGGCGATCGCCACGCTGTCAGGAGGAGCAAGAGTGTCGAGGCCGTGCCGGTTGTCTCGGCGAGCGGGCCACAGTGCAGCCAGCCGCCACCGCCACCCCCTCGGGCGTACGACCAGACGACTGACGATGAAGTCCCTCCGGCGAGGCGAACTTTCATATCACCTCCTCCGAGACACCGCGCGCCCTCTACAACCACAGAGACCTCAACCAAAACCAGCAGTTCCACGCACCCGACGTCCGAGCCTCCCAGCTCCATAACCACCAGCGTTTCTACGCTCACTCATCCGTTGTCCGAGGCCGCCAGCTCGGAGCAAGAGCAGGAGCACGGCGAAAGCAGCAGCGCTCTACTCCAGGCACAACCGAAGCCCAGGGTGCCGAGGATGAGCATCAGTGACATCAGGGTGCTATGTGGCGCAGGCCACCATCCCATACAGCAACCCACCCATAGACCCGCCCAGGGCCCAGCCCAAGGCCCAGCTCATGGCCCAGCCCATGGCCCAGCCCAAGGCCCCGCCGAGGGCCCCGCCAGCGTGGTGCACCAGGCGCCAGCCCACACTGCTCCAACCAGACACAGCGTCTCTAGGGTGGCCTTGGGACCGCAGCAAGGACGCCGCCGTCCCGGGGATAGGAGCACGCCGTCGGAGGAGAGGGTCGTGGCCACTGGACAGGAGCGCCGCGGGTCCAGGAAGAGAAGCACGCCGTCGGAGGAGAGGGTCGTGGCCACTGGAAAGGAGCGCCGCGGGTCCAGGAAGAGAAGCACGCCGTCGGAGGAGAGGGTCGTGGCCACTGGAAAGGAGCGCCGCGGGTCCGGGAAGAGAAGCACGCCGTCGGAGGAGAGGGTCGTGGCCACTGGACAGGAGCGTCGCGGGTCTGGGAAGAGAAGCACGCCGTCAACCGGGGAAAGAAGCACCACGACACGGCGAAAGACAAGCGTGAGCCTCGAAAGAATCAGAACCCACACAGTGGATGAGCAAGACAGCGATTCCTACTCCGACTCCGACCTCGAGGGTCTCGATCTGGTTAGTGACGACGCGCTTCTGAGCGACGACGACGATGACGACGAAGAAACTGTGTCACCCACCCCGACCCCCCGCCCGGTGCCAACCACACCGGGGCGCGCGCCGGCGAGGTCCCGGCACCGACCCGAGAGGGAAGATACGGTCACGAGGAACTTGTTTAAGGACTCCGAGACGCCCCGGCGACCATTGGATCAGCTGATGGAGCCAAAGCGGATCCGCATGAGCGAAGGAACCTCCAAGTCCAGGGTATCCATCGCCAGACCCAGCGCAGGAGCAGCCCCGGCGCCGGCCCCACGCAGCAGTGCCCCGTTGGGAGGACCCATGGCTACGGACACTCACAACAGCAGCATGTTGTCCGCGCAGTCGACTCGCTCCTCTAATGACAAGGTAAGCACGCGTGAGATTACTTGTCGAAGTCGAAACAGAGGGGGAATGTGGGAACTTTGAACGAACGCTCTCCCCTTTGGAAGGGTGAGGTTCAATAGAAATGATTCAGATGTCCAGGTGGTGTTGCCAGTAGAGCTGACGCCAATGATTGTTGTAATAACTGGTGAAATCGAATTTTGTCCCCGGTACTTGGTCTTCATGCCTGTGACTTGATCTTGCAGGACAGAGCCCCGAGTTCCGTCTCAGCTGTGTCTGTGGCTTCGTCTCGTCAGAGTATCGGCGTGGATGTGGTGCTTGGCACTCGCGCGTTCCGCCGGCCTCAGCTGCCCCCATCCCGCACCAACGACGCCCCGGACAAGGAGAACATCTACCCTCCCGTCAAGGCTAAAAGAAAGCACGGTCCAGGCGATGGCGACTTGGTGAGCGAACCTACAATCTCATTA